ATGTATTATTCTTTGTATCTCTTCTATATTTATCAATATATCATGTAAAGAAAAGTTCAGGAATGAGAATTATAACAATTACCTTTTGTGAGAGGCTTGAAAGAGACATTTTTTCATTTTTGAAGGTAAGAAAAACTGGAATGGGGATGTTATGAACAGTTTACTGGTGAGTAATAGGTAACTACTATCTTTCCCTCACCATGCAAGTCCACTGGCACTGACTCAAACCTGTGACTGTGTACTTTGTTTTGCCCACTGAGTTGAAAACCTAATTAGTCACCTTGGAGAGTTACTGAAACTGAGGTTTCGAGTGTTACCTCAAAGGCTAAAACTCTCCTTGATTGCCAATTTATTTTATCAACCCAGTTGACAAACCCAAATCCACTTTTATAGGGTTGAGATCAGTGCTGGCAGACCATGGTTTCATGCCAGTTGTGAACTTACCCAGTGCATACAAAATGACATTGGCTCAATTCAGGTGGGAATGTAGCAGTCAGCCTTTGTGCATACTTAACAATGATGTCATACAAAAAACGGTTGTTGGTATTAAGAGTGGCCATCTGTTTATGACAAACTTTAACAACATGGGGATGGCAGTGACCAACTGTAGAGAGAAGGAAGAGTTATTCAAAAGCATAAAAAAATTTGACAAACACCACCATGATAATTCTGCTGTCAGTTGTTACATTCATCATGAAAATTAATTAAACGAAAGTCCAAATTAGTGGCTGTAAAATGGCCAACAAAATTCATAAGTAATTTAGTTTTCTATCATACCTCTTCATATTTTTAGGATAAAAATAGCCAATGACATTTCTCTCTCCAGCTACAGTAGTCTGTCTATTTTACCTTTTGCATCAATAGTTACATGTAAAAATTTATTCAGGCTTACTGTTCAATTTTAAGCAAACTGTGATTGAGTAAACACAAAAAAATTTTCCTGTAAAAGACCTGCAGCCTTGACTAAATTTTTCATCATAACAAAAACCCAAAATGGCTGCTAAGGTACTAAACTTTTGTTAAAACTTGCCAAACAGAATTGTCTTGTTCCACTTTTTTAGTACTGATATTTCACTGAAGGTAATTTCTAATCCCTCACCAAAACAAACATTTCACAAACTCAAAAGCAACATAAGATGGACATACCATGGGTGACATTATTGACACAATCTAGATATTGGTTATCCTCCTCATCATACATGTACTGTCCTCTTGCATAGGAAATTTTAATTGGATTCTCTTTGAAATGGACCTCACAGGCTTTCCTGTATGAAACAAGAAAAAATTCTAATGTTTTCTTTATTATAAATACATGGAAAATGAAAAGTATTATTTAGTGTGGTTTACAGAAAGATTTGGTGTATTTAATTAGTCTCTTTAGCAACAATATGTCTTTAGCCTAGGATTTTACACTGGATACTTGAGGTAATTGGACAGCTTAAGAGGAAGATATTATGATAAAAAAGCCCTAACAACCATATTAGTTGAACTTAGTTTAAAAAAAAATTATTGCTGAACCATTTACTCTCCAACATGATCAAGCCTCAGAGCCAAAACTCTTAAACCCTACAACCTTCCTAAAAAAGTGAAAAAGGGGTTAGTTTTCTCTTTTCTTAAACTTAAACAGTTAGAGAAGAGGGTTGACTCTTTACAAATGAGCATCAGTATGCAATTTCTCCAAACTGTTCTCTGTATATTTCTTGAGGTGCTAATGAGGAGAATTTATTTAACAGTCAGGAGCTCCTTCAATTTGTATGGTGATTGTTTTCTCTTATCTCCTGACCTAATGTTTGACACAGGGTGGTAATGTGAGGGGGATTTAGATGCTAGTCACTCTTAGAGGTAAAAGGGTTTAAAATTAAAAAAAGTCAACCAAATCCTGTCTCACTAATACAACTTAACATTATTAGCAAGAGGGCAAAACTACAACTCATAATTATGATCCTGATTTTGGGACTAAAGGATAAATAATGGTAATAGGACTTTGTGTTGTCCAATTCAGTCTGTAATCATATGAGTGATTCACAAATCAGATAATTGTGAAGTGGGAGTCCAATTTGTTAATCACTCATATGATTACAAACAGAATTGGATGACACAAAGTCCTGTCACCAATAAATCAAAAATATGACAAAATTTGAGATAGAAACTAGATGTCGGTTATATGTTTTCATAGAAAAAAAAAACAACAGTTAACTCAACAAAATGTGAGACAACAACACATGCACATGATGCATTCTGTCCACCAACACAGGCATGACATGTTCACTGTCCCTTTAACTGTCCTATTACACCATTCAATTACAAGCATGATGCATATACTATCCTATTCATGCTCATATCTCCACAGTGATAAACGATTGTGTCCAAGAATTTTGTTATAGTTTTGATTAATCCAATAATCTGTTTGGAAGCCTATGGCAATGTCAACCACCTGAGCTCAGTTGACCACAATGACCTTCCCTGCCTCCAGATGGTTTGAGAGTTTTTTCATTGCTGTTTGGTTATTTTAGGGGAGGGGTGAGAAAATAAGGACCTTTATGTTCCCTGGCTCCTTGTGTCAACAATTTTATCATAAAACATCTTGGCCGGTTATTTAAACAAAGTTGAGCCATTGTTTAACAAAACCACTTCCTAAACTATCATGACTTAGCTCAATCTTTAATCTGAACAATATACAGTGTCAGGAGGGCCAGTTATTTCAGGCCCAAGCCTCCTGATTTACAGCTAATCACTTCAAAATTGAAAATTGCCATTGGTCAGTGGATGCGAAAAGAACTTGGATGTGGAAAAAATTATTCACGTGGAACCGGATGTGAATTGACCTCACGAGACACTTTCTGCCCAATCAAGTGGCAAGGTACGTGGCAAAGTATGTAAATTAACTTTCGACTTTGATTACTCAGCTCCATAAATGCTGTCAATCGCCCTATCGCATTTCTTTTTACTGGCAGAGGTCGACCCGCACGCGGTAATCACTTGTGTAATGGGTTCCCACAACCATGCTTAAGACCAGTTGCAGAGCAAATCGCCAACAATCGCTGTTTTTTCTGTTGTGCAAAGTCAGTTCCTAAACTGAAAATATTTCGATTATAAAGGCTACGGTCGAGAAATGTAAGCTTACAAATGCCGTCAGAAAACGTCATAACCGCCTTAGTCGATCGACGGTACGAATTGCATTGCTCCTGCAACCTTTGCTACCACAGTAGAAAAAAAATCCACGTTGTCTTTTAAGGAAATACTATCATTTTAATGATTGTTCTCAACTTTGGTGTGCCAGTTAAAGTCTAACGGTTACTGAAGAAAAAATCATTTTCAGTCGTTCCGAGTATGAATGAAACATTAACCAAACACTAAATTCAACTTTAGTGAATGAACCTACTGTTTTAATAAGGAACTTATTAACCCTCGAAACTTACCCGATGTAGGCAGTTCGCAGTCCCATAATCTCTTCCTTAGAGAGTCCGTGACATTTCTTTTCGCCTTCAGTTCCATTCGTACAATGGTAGCCATTTGTGAGCTTCTCTTGAGTTTTGTTCGTCGGTACATCAAGCTTTGCTCTCTTCGCAACGCTCATATTAATAAAGTCCTCTGGAAAAGCTCTTCCTGGCAAGATTCAAACCTCACTTTCGAATCAACAGGAAAGCGAAATTTCTTGTTTCGCCGGCGAGTTGAGATCTCTTCGATAAAATTTTCGCCGCGTGTTGTCACGAGACTTGTTTACAAATAACAGGTCAATCTAGTTTTGACTGTTACGTCACTGGCCGAAGGAAAAGGGTTCTTCATTCTAAAAATTAAACTTCCTCTCCCAGTAACAGGAAAAGGAAAGTAATAAGTGTCGGATATTTTGCGAGACAGAACACGAGGGTTTCACAAGCTCAGAAAAAAACAAAGCTGTTTTGATATCCTGTAAAAGTTGATCTTCATTCATTCTCGATTTCCCAACAAACCTGTTTTGCTAGACTGATCGAGAAAAATCCTTCAACACCCTTTTAACAGATCGATATCGCTTTAACACGCTTCATCGAGTCTTGAAATAAGAAAAATGAACTTGTTGCGCAGTGAAGTTAAAAAGTTTTCCAGATACATTGTGAGTGACAGAAGATTCTGAGTATCAATCTCGCTTATCTGAGCAGAAGAGAAACAAACCTGTGTTTAAGTCTTTCAGATTCTAATCTTTTGGTATCCTCAAGAGGCGACAAAGATGAATAAAAATTCTAAAAATTAGGACTTGCCAAAGACTTATTTGACCCGTACTTTGATTTTTGTCTTGCCAAGCCTCGATTGCGGCTCAGCTATCAACTTGTCACGTAACACTTGTCACGCGATTAGAAACGATGGCACGTAACGACATAGGCACAGGTCGCGTATTAATTACGAAATGCGCCGCGTTTTGTTTAAAATATGGTATTTCTGACCAATGAGTCTGCGAATAAGGCAGAAATAAATATTTTGTCGGCACGAGATACGACAAGGCCTGGGCCTTAGGCCCGAGCATCATGGGTAATGATGCAGTGGTATATAACGGAAAGTATAGCACGTGGTGTTCATCTAGGCCTCAGAACCAACCGTTCACCTCTGGCTGATGACAAATTTATTTTAGTTTGAAAACATATTTTCTTTGGCTGTGAAGCCTCGTAGGATGGGCTGCCAACTGCTCTGAGTTTGGGCCATGGTTCCTACCCAGATTTCCTGTCATGTTTTTTTCCTAAAGGGGTTTTTTCTGGCCTCTGTATAACCGTAGTTATGTCCTTGTAAGTGGTTGCCCATCTCTGTTAATCCAGACTTGGTGAAGTTTGCATGTTAGTAATGTATACCTCTTTTTTTAATGTGTAAGGAATTGACTGTATATCAGGATTGTATATGGTATATCAGTTGCGAATATATGTATGTATGCATTCCCCGGACTATATATGCCTCGGGTTGGTTCTCGGCAGGCTTCCCTAAATAAACTTATTTGGTGTACACTACTGTGTTATTTGTTGTGTAGTGGAGACAAAATATTTAATTTCTAACGTCGATATAGTAATTCTCATTATATCTGCCCGACATTCATTGGAAGCAAACATCAAAATATCTGCAATTTGATCGTTGACCGTGCGATTAAACTGTTTATCAAAGAAGTGCTTCAACACTGCACAACTTTTCAAATGCTTGATATAAAGTCCTTTTTCTTTTAATTTTTACAATAAACAGATAAGAAATTATATACCTTAATTTAACAACTAGATTTTGCTGACAAAATCCGATAAATAACATTCAGACGAGTAATTGTAAAGATGCGCTAAAACTCCCTCTCGCATTAATTCGATCAAGTGCCCTGTGTGCTTATTAAACTTTTGGAGCTTGCGGGTGGGCGCTCATTCGAGGTTGGGCGCTTGATCGAATAAACACGGTACGTTTGGTAGCCATTCCATTTTCGTGGCACTTGATTACGCAACTATTACAGGTCGTGAAACTATAACTCTCTGCTTTTGGACTTCGCTTCCACTTTGTATCAACGGACAATCTACCATCGGCGATGACCGTTTTGACACGCATTTGTCTAAGAGTCACGCACTATTAGGAGACCATAATGTAACATAACACTTCTTATGCCTTTGGCGTTGCCTTCGTAATGAACGATGGGTTCGCCGCATGTTTGTCAGTTTCGCGACTTTCGCGACACTTAATCGGCTTAGTGTCACGCAACAGTCGGCTGAGGCCGTGTCGTCACGCAATACTTGAGTTTACAAAACAGTTGCTGCCCTTTTTCAGTTCTTTACCACATAATTGTATAAGAGTCAAGCAACCGTCCGGTGGACTTGTCATCACACGATATCTTGGCTCTTGGATTTACAAGATTCAGAATTATCTTCAAGATTGTAACTCAAGGTGGCAGCATTTTCTCCATTATTCGCAGGTTGTTCATCATCAGTATCATCTTCGTAATTATTTTGCAGCTGGCGGATAAATGGATACAGTTTTATTGTCACGGAGCTGGCCGCTCGAATTTCTTTTCCGTATCGCTGCATCAGCTTCCAAACACCACCTGGGAACAAATTAATACATTTAAAAACCGAAAATGATGAAGAAAAAATTTAAAAAGGAAATGCATTCATTACGTGCGGTATTTCAGTGACGCAATGACACAGTACTTATATCACTAGGCTATTTTCCCCGTAAGGAGCAGGTGAAGAGTGCTCTATTTAGGTAACACTTTCTCTAGATCCGTATTTGTCCCCTAAATGAAGGTTCCATCGCGCTATTGGACATTACTCCGGGACTCGCTTTCTACGACGAGGTTTAGCGACAACAGTTTAAGACTGACACTTCTTGCAATACAAACTTCAATTTTTTACCAGGCGAAAGGAATTTTTTTATATTATACAAAGCAACCCAAACTTGAAACTGATTCCTACTTACCAACTGTTAGTTTTCGTTCTGTGATAAATGAATGGATGTTGAGAAGATCTTCCGCTAATTCCTGAAAGAAATGGAGAAGCGTCAAACTATCTTTCTGAGCATCAAATACGAGAAGTGCAGGCACAAATTGTCTATACTACTCAACATTTCCCTCTCCAGCTTTGTCTCCCACTTTCGTAGGTAACTTTAAGACTAAATCCATGGTACTCAATGACTCTTTTAAAATCTCCTTACTCTTTGTCGCGACACCCAAACGTTGGTCAAAAATCGAGTCAAACAGAGACTAACCCTAAAACGTGAATCGAGATTAGTTCACAAGTTATTTTTTCTCAGTGAGTCCAAGCAGATCACTAAACACACGTCTGACAAGTGAAATTATACATGGTCTGCTATCATTTTGAGTGATTTTCACAATGAATTTGTCATATCGTTGCCATTCTTCGAGTTACAACTTACAGCATCTCCAAACGTGAAATACACAATGTCCCTGGACCCAGCAGCACACGCCATCATTTGAATTAACCCTGACAGACATAATAAAAGAAAATGCTGTAGCACCTTGATAATGTTATTCTAAATAACAGTGAAGTTGTGAGGAGAAATTACTGATTGGTCGTATCTAAGATTGAAAGGGTTAATAAATCTAAAAAAATAAATAATTGAACAAACCTTTCACTCTAGGATCGCCTCCAAATGCGCCACAGCCCCAGTTTCCTACCAAAAGAGAAAGAACGTAAGTTTTTCAGCCACTGAGCTGACTGCGCTATGAAAGTGATTTCCTTTTGAGTATTGAAAGTAAAACGTGATACTAATGGTTTGTCTTTAACACGCTCTGTGCCATTGGTCAAGAAAACTCGCGCCATCCTCTCGACCAATCAGTGACTTGGGCAATGGCGGTTTCCCGCGCTTTTTCACTTCGAGTTCTCATTGGCTCCCAATGGTTTTTTCCTCTGTTCTAATTTGGAGTCGTGGGTATTTAAGTTGACATTTTGCGACATTCATGCGAAAAGAGTCTCAAATGGTCCGTTACAACTTTTATGGAGTAAATCTACGGGTCGAAAGCCTCGAGGTATTTCTGAACCAACAAACACGGCTGGTCTAGTTGTATTGGTCTCACCTGTGGCAATTGCTGGAAGATATTTCGGTTCTACGGGGGAGTAAAACCCACAGTATGCCTACAAGAGAAAAGCATTCATTTATAGGTTAATAATGACCTGAAGACTCTGGAAAGACAATTTTCTCTCGATGGAGGCAAACTTGCAGGGGAGGTGGTCGAGTGGTCCTGGTTCGAGTCCTGTCTGGGAAATTGTACCTTGTCAAGTTCTCTTTTGAGCAGGCCAACTTGAAACTGATCTGTATAACAGCGAAATACTTGTGCATCTATGGCCACGATCTTAGAGTGCCGTCGTCCCCAAGAATCCCTGGAAAAAAAAGGAGATAGAGAAAAATACTTCAAAATAAAATAACTTAAAAGTCAAAGGAAAACAAATTCAAGTACAGTTTGAACTCTAGAATGCGAAACATGGGTGTGAGTGCTAGTTGATCTGTCTTTTTTTGTTCCAAAGTTGTGAGGGGTGAAATATTAGACTCGCAAAACGCCTGGCCCCCTTATTTGCCGGAAGATCTAGCCAATATTTTAGCCATGTCTCTTTATTGTTACTGATTATTATAAGGTGTTGATGACGACTGGAAAATGTTGCGTTCAAGTGGCAGTATTTTGTGTTGCGCTTTTCTTTTTTTTTCCAGGGGGGATACATCAGCTTTTACGTTGCAATCTATTTTCAAACGACAACGATGACACATAGCCTTTCTTGGCCCACATCACAATTTTGAGCACCTCTAGCTACCGTTTGCCCGAGATTCTCGAGCAACAGTAGCGAGATGTGAAGAAATATGAAAAATTTCAGATTCTTGTGTCTTGAGATCTTCAACGGCACTCAGGTACCTTGTTGTTCTATCGCTATGGTTACCAGCCCATCTAAACGTGTGCGCATATCCTGTGTAATCACTGTAACGCTCCGCGCCTGAAATAAAAAGGGTTCATTTGTTGAATGAGGTCAGAATGGCGTCAGGTTAAGGATACACGTATACTACAACAGAAGATTTCTTGATTCTCTAAATCACTGCTCACAAGGCGCAAGGCGCCAGAGCAAGTTTGAATTGAGTGTCACATAAAGTGCTTTTCGATTAAGGGTCGTAAAATGAAAACCAAAGTAACCACAACGGCCAATCAGAGAAATGGAAAATACCATTAAGAGCCAATGACAGCTTAAAGTTTAAACAATCAACCTGCCGAAAGCGCGGGAAAACGCGCGTGACCAAGTGTGTGATTGGTTTACGTTTTGCATCTGATTGGTTGAAAGTGGCACGAGTTTTGTAGATCAATCACAGAGCGAAGTAAAGCAAAACCACAGCAACTGATTGACACCTGATTGAAAATTGCTCTATACTCCGAGATTTTGTTGGTTTCGCCTTACTTTGTACAGTGAAAACTTGCCCCACCCTCCTTTCCAATTGAACGCAAACTGAAAACCAAAATAAACTTGGTCATTCATGTTTTCCCGCGTTTGTGACAGTACGCTTGTTTTAAATTAGAGTTGGCACTGGCTCCTCGTTGTACTTTCTTCCTCCCCCACTGGTCTTTGGGATTTCTCTTGTCCTGACTTAACGACAATAAATTCAAATTGTCGCACTTTTACCCCACAACAAACCACAGGATGCGTAAGTAATCAGATTCACAACCCAAAGTACAATGTTTATTGAAACAGCAGAACCAAGTTCATGAGACGGGTAGGTATATAAGGGGTCCGCTATATTATCGTGCACAAGTTTTAATTTACCTGTTATCATTAAACACTCATTGTTATCAAGCCGCTCACAGAACAGCCTTGAAAGGATCAGTTCAGGACATATAAGAAACCGTATTTCTTCTTGGACACAACCCTGTAATGAAACCGGATCACTTTGAATTAGAAATATAAAAATGGTCGACAGTGACTAATTTTGAAGGGTACATGTATGTTGCTTAGTATTCAAGTCAACATGTAAAAACTCACCTCTCCTATAACACCTCCACCAATGTACTTGTTTGCAAAATCAACCTGAAACAAAATGAAAAGAGGTACACCAGAGTTAGTTATCGGTCGTCAAAGGCGACAATGAGGAGCAGGAACGACAACAGTCGCATCTTTCCTCAACAGTTATCTTGGACAAGACGGGAATGGCCGTTGTAGAGGCGTGGCCGTATGGGAAGCGAAAATGGCGATATTTAAAGACACCTGCACGTATTTTTGGATCAAGGGTAAAACCTTTATTTTTTTTCTAATGTCTCAGAGACCGTCAAAGTAAACGACATTCTCAAGATACGTGGATAAAGAAATAAAACAAGCTTGGTTTTTAAGACAAATGTTGCTACACAGTTCGTCAGTTGAAGTAGTTAAGTAACGGTCCGCTACTTAGGACGAACCTTGGTGACCATTCCGTTTCTAAGGCTGTGTCCGGTGTAGATAATTTTAATGAAAGTGCATATAAACACAGTTCGGGACATAAAAACTGAGTGGACGTCATTAGTGGTTTGTAGTTAGCTGCGGTTTACTCGCACTAACCTGAAGAAATCCTGTTCCGTTGTCTTCAATTGTACCACCAGTGGAGACATGAAGTTTGCCAAACAGCGTAGTACATCTAGCAACCAATATTTATGGAAGTTAGTCAATAATAACAGGACGCATACAGTTTTACAATGGTAAAAAATCTGACGATTTGAACTCACGTTAATTTTGTCTAGTGACCAAAAATAAAATAAAAAACTGAAGGCGCCTTGAAAATCTTGGCGTAAACAAATTTCAGATCCACCACAGTTAATTTGGAACATGTACAACGCAACGTCTGCACGATATTTCAGGAAGGTTTACGTGTTTCTGAAACCACAAGCAACAGTATTCGGAAGCACTATGCAGACAGAAAGTATTTTTGCCATCCAGTGCAAAAATGAGCTACATTTTTGCAAAGTTGTAAACTTTCTGCCAGTTGTTCATAAAGGCATCAAATTGCTACCTTTCAGACACACTGATAAGTTTTACTGCGCACTTAATTCAGCTTACGAGTAATCTTTACAAACTGTGTAAGTCGCTCTAACATTTCTTTTCCACAAGAAGTTTTGTAACTGCCATGACTATCCATTGTTCAAAGTCTTGATCGAAAATCCTTTTTCATTTTTTGTTTTTTTTTTTGGCACAAAGACAGTGTTGATTACCAGTGTTAGATCATAAACGATATTACTTCCTTGGAAACAAAACCAAATTCTCAAAACTAGTCAAAAAAGAAATCTATGGTCACCGGTAAGGAGATATTAACGAGTGACTGCTTAGTACTTTCTCGGTGAAAATTACAGCTCACATCTTTGAAGCTTAGCAGCGGAGGGTGAGCGACGGTTAAAGGGAAGGAGAGGGGTTGGGGATAAAGAGATATTCTCGTCCTTTCGGCCCCCTCCCCCACCGTCCAGTTTAACGCTAAATCAAAGATAACCAGAAGGATAAACGATCACGAGCACATAACGCTGACTCTTCTCAAAAAGACACTTGCACTGCAGGTTGGTTAGTAGAATGCTTGGCTCATTGAAAATCTTTACCTTTCCCAGTCAGGCATGTCAGAAGATTCCACAACCTGTCTTTGAAAAGTAACAGTTCCCTTTGGCACTGTGGAAGAGAAAGTAATACTAACACTTGAAGGGAAATTTAAGCTGATAACAAAAGATACTAATCTATAAGGTATGGCTTAAGAACCCATATGCATAATGACTGCCTTGTTTTTATAGCCCCTTGTGGTTATTTCAGGCAGCTAGTAATCTTTCTTCATTTCTTGTAATTACTATTTAAACTAACGACGTATTTGCCGGGTACAAAAACATCAACAAAAAAACAGATAATCGCACAAAAAAAAAACAAGACCCCAATAAATCACTGATCATAATTTGCAATTTCAAGCCCTAGACATTACAGAACTTACGCAGAGACGTTTAAGAGACACGGACGGCAAACCGAAAGAAGAATAAACTAACTCTAACGCGCCTGGACGCCAATGTATCGACGTCAAGGTCTTCCGTTTAGCATTTTAACCCCGTGGGTTGCCGTGAGAGCAAAACAAGGACCCAAGTGTAAAATTGCCAACCCTATGTCTGTTGTGTTTCCTAAATACTGAATACATAAATAAGAAAAAAAGATAACTGTTTATAAAGGTGGTAGTGTCAACTACTTACTCTCCCTTATAACTCTCTTGAAATAATGAAAGATGGCCTGAAGTTTTTCTGTTTTAACTGAATTTGTTCCTCCTTTACCGCCTTGAAATAATCTTTAAAGACAGACAAAGAGATGTATGTTTTTTATCTTTTTCTATCAAGGGGTTTCAATTGCAGCAGGGTAGTGGTGGTCAGATCGTCTCGCTTGTGATGAGCTGAGTGCAAGAAAATTTTTATGGGGGGAGGGGTTGGGAAGAAGGGGCACGACGCTTCCTTTCTCTTTAAATTTCTTAAAAACTCTACTTTTAACCAACCATCTTGAGAGTAGCATATATCACAGTTGAATTTTTTTTCAAGCTTTCCTCTTTCCAAAGGAATAAATACACTAACTATTTCAGTGAAAAGCTTGCTGCACCTCAAAAAAAATGGTTTCCTTAAATCTGCACCAAAAGTCAAATGGCATTTTCTTTCTTTTCAAAATGACAAAGGAACAACTTACCTATTAAAATTTACGTCTGGAAATGATGAATATTCTGAGTGTTTGTAAGAGTTACGTCTTGGAAATGTACAAAAGAATGCATTGGCCAACAGACAGGCAGCCTGCAACATAACAGTTAATTGCAGATCATTTGTTAGAAGAAACAACAAACGTACTTTTACTCTAACCGAAAAAATATCAATCACGGTAATAAATATCTTCAAAATCCTTCCATGAAAAATTATTCTGACCTGCTCTTGGCTCATTGTTATGCTGTGATTTTGTTGCCGTTTTAAAAGAGGAATGGCCTGCAAATAAAATGTTAAAAGGAAAATGATGGTGGTTAATAACTAGAGCTCTTAAAAGAAATCTGATTGATCCAGTTACTCTCAGAGTGGAAGTTTTGATTGAAACTGCATAGGGTTCTAAAACTGTTGTGGAGTCTGTTTCTAACCAACAGAGACACAGAAAACTGAAATATTTTGTGGGTGACATTGTTACTTGCTGAAAAAGTATATCTTTGACAACATATCATCAGATTTTCCACAAAAAAAATATTTCATACCTGAGTGCACAAAGTGGGAAGTTGAAGAGTAAGAGACACCATTCCTGGCAATGTCTTGCTGAAAAATTCATTTCTTTGGCTGATATCTAGTACCTGAAACAAACATTCATAAGACTGAAACAGAGAAAACACAGAAAAGTTTTATCATCAGACTGTGATTAACATGGTCTTGGTGGGTTGTTTCTCTCAGCACTCTAGGCTTCCACTAATTTTGGTTGCCACAGCATGTAGGAAAGCATTTTGGCAACTAAATTTGAATTTGAGACACCAAATTAACTACCAGCACATGTCTGTCATTGAACAAATTGTGATAATTTGATTACTTTATGTTCATGGTGTAAAGTTATACTGAGATAATGATTTCTTCTCAGTTGAGCCCTAAGACTTCATGAAAATTTGCAAAATGATAGCCAACTAGTTCTTTTTTTTCCTTCTGATGACTGAATTTTTTTTCTTGGTACCATTTTAATATTTAAGGTGACCTTTCGAAAAATTTTGAAGTGTAAAGTTATACTGCGATAACGATTTCTTCTCAATTGAGCCTTGAGACTTCATGAAAATTAGCAAAATGATAGCCAACTACCGTAATTTCCGGTCGATTACCCGCGGGTAATCTGTTGATTTTGCATTAAATCCGCGCCACTGCGGGTAATAGGGAGGTGCGGGTTATGTGACAATTTTAAATTCTTCTGGAAGTTGAATTGAAAAAATTTCTCACCTACCTGCGTTTCCACCTCTCAAATGAATTTTATTGTATCAAAAGTGCCACAAAGCGGCACGAAAACATGATGCCAACTCGAGTTTATTTCACGCATAATTAGTTGCGTGACAAACAAATTTTTATCGGCACGCGTGAAAACAAAACCTTGATGGTGACAAAAATAATCCAAGGATATCCGGCGCATCAGTAACAAATTTCCAGTTTTCACTAGCTTGAGCTAAAGAGAATTTTCCCGTTTTAAGGGACTTGTTAGGCCCAGTAGAACAGGAGATATCGATTTTTTTGAGAAATTGCCGACAGTAATTTTAAATCCCAAATGCATCACCAGAATGTTGAAAATAATAGGTGCGAAACTTAACTAATGTAAAGGCTGTAAAAGTTTCATCCATCAAGAATGGTTTTAGAAAAGCAGGAATTGCAAGTGGCACCGACGATGATGCATCTCAGACATCCGACATCAGTGACGATGAACAAATAACATCTACCGCAATTCTGGATCCTGTACTCGATGCGCAGTTAATGGACTTATTTAATAGTGACACTGAGGATGAAGATTTTAATGGATTTTGAACTGAACTTACTTTATCATTCAAGTTTTTAACACTCGCCCTGTATAATTTTACTGTTCAATTTTCACTGTATAATTTTATCAATAAAGTATAAGCTAATATTGACACAGAATTGTGCACATGTCTGAATCGAAAGACTGAAATGTATCGCCTTAATGTCACGTTTTCGCCACCGAAAAAGTTGAATAACAACGTGCGGGTTATCCACCGGTGCGGGTAATCCGTTGACTTTTTTTTTCGCCGTATGCAATAATCGGCCGGTGCGGGTAATCGGCCGTGCGGGTAATCGACCGGAAATTACGGTAGTTCTTTTTTTTCCTTCTGCTGACTAAATTTTTATTTCTTAGTACAATTTTTAATATTTGAGGTGACCTTTTGAAAAATTTTGCATCAAAAATGTAGTGAGTGAAAATATCTGTCTTCTTTTCTCTCTTTCAGACAACTGAAGTTACATGTAGCGCAAGCTGATAACCATGGGCCAGCCTAGTCTGGTTTTTATCGACACGTACCTCATTAAAATAGCTGTGTAGAGCTTCAAAGTTCCACCTCTTGGAGTAATGAGCATTGTACTTCAAAATGGCATCCTAAGGAAAAAAAAAGAAGAGGTAATTACAAGAAAAAATATCAACTACTTAGAGATCAAACTGCCTCTTAAAAGTTTCTACTGGAACTGCAGTGCTGGGTCAGTGCGTGAGGTATAGCAACCTTGCCAGAAAGAAGAGAGGTATTGTGTAAGTATTTGTTGATACTGTGGGGATTAAGAATGCTGATTTAAAATTTTCATTCTAGAGTTTCACAGTTTTCCAAACTGAATAGATGCAGAGTAAGGATGCAGACTACTTTATGTTGCTTTTAAAGAATGATTACAGAGATTTAAAGGTGGATCATTTTCACATTACAAAGGTGTTCAGAGACCCAAAGAAGTGTCAGAAATTTCCTATATGTATCTCAGAGCTGGGTCAATATACCTGGAAAATTTCTGACACTTTTTAGGCTTTTCTAGATAAACTTGCTTTGCTGACTCTGTACAAATCACTAAATTTATGCAAAATTTCCTTTTCTTGAACATTTACTTCATTCAAGGAGCTTACCTGTAGCTCAACTGAGTTTGTGATTGATCCTAACAAAGTTGCTTCTATCAGTTCCCATCTATTTTGAATAATTTTCTTTTCACAATTCTGAAAATACAGACAAAAAAGTTGAAGGTAATGTTTAAGTCTGGGTTCCTTTTATAAACTGAGAATCATTAAACCTTTCACCCCTTTGATCTAACATCTTATTTTCCTTACAAATGGCAACCTGAGTGTTCAGCAATTCCTTCTGCTTGAGTGAAAGTTTTGTAAATTTGGTGTTGAATCCCTCTTCCACTCAGGTCAACAAATTTCTTCACTCTTACCATTTATCCAGTATCATGGCTACTGCTTTGGATACCACAGAATAATGCTGTTCAGAACAAGCCATTTGTATTGCAAGAATAAAGTGTTAGTCCAACACAGGTTACCCAAACTACCTATGTCTCAAATACTAATTACCTTGAGAAGGTTTTTCAACTGTTTCACTCCCAAGATCTCACTAGCAATTCTCCTTCCTGTTTGCCATACAATTATTATGATGTTAAATCAGAGAATGTGGTATTGGATCAATTTTTAATCTCCTTGTTGGTATTTTTTTTATTCTCATCACTTGTCTGCTTGACATCGTGTTGAAATTGTGTTGATATTGTTAAGAAAAATTCTGTCTTGGTCCTTTATGGGAGTTTAAAGTTGAAAATACTAGTTTGCAGACTGATGCTCAAAGAAACTGACTGATCACTGCTGATTTCCCAGCTATAAAGAAGAATTATTTGCTCTGATAGTTTTCTTTGACAATATTTGCATCTTAATTAATCACTACCCTAACTCTCTTTTACTTGTCTGCTTGGCTATAAACTAATGCTGTGAGAAGAAATTAGACAATGATCACCTGTCCTGGGTAAAGGTTTTCTCTTGAGCAAGGCATCCGTACATGGTTCTTATCCCATTTGTCTCTAGAGGGAAATCACAGAAACAACTTGATTATTAACCCTTTCACTCCCAAAGATCTCATTAGTAATTCTCCTTACTTTCTTCTGTACGATTCCTATGATGTTAGGTCAGAAAAATATGTATTGGATTAACTAATAATCCCCTAATTGATATTTTTCTTGATTCTCAACACTTGTTTGCTTGATCTTGTATTGATATTGTAAGGAGAAATTCTGCCTTGGTCAACCATGTGAGTAAAAGGTTTAAATGTTATAAGTGCAGAAACTAGTCAGGAGTATTACAGATTGTCTCAAAGAGGGATATACATTAAGCAGGCTCAATAAAGAAAATTAAAATCCATTGCAATAAACTTTAATTCAATTCCTATGAAGAAAAAAAGTTTTAGACCAGCTGTCATCTTAAAAATTTGAGGCAAACAAATAGTTAGAACTATTAGTTAACCCTTTAATTCCCACATCAAATTTGTAATTCTCCTTACTGTCAACCATACAATTTTTGTAATGTTAGATCAGAGAATTTAGTATTGGATCAACTAATTATATATCCCCAAATTGGTATTTTTCTTTGTTCTCATCCCTTCACTTAAGATAACAAAGCTTAACTGTAAAATAATTTGAGAATGGAGACCAGATTTCTCATATCAAATAAAAAATATACCTGTAGTTTTTGTGAGAGGGTTTTGGAGGTTCAGCAAAATCATTTGAAAGGGAAGGCTGAAAAAAAAAACATGAACACAACCATAAGTTAGGAAAAATAAATTAAAAAAAAATTTCCCTCACACACACATGCACTTGCAGCATCAAAAGTCTTTTTTTATCATCATGATGTAAATTGCAGTGTTTTACAAGGATTACCAGCTCTGAGGATGGCTGTGACTGAATTTGTGTAACTTAATTTGCTAATTTTTTGAGGGTTTTGATATCACTAATAAGCTGCTGACAAGTCACTTGCCTTTTGCACCACAAATTTTCTCATATTAAGGCACTCTATGAGTTAAAAGTTATGCCCATTGTTTGTTTGTGCTATACCTAATTCAAAAATTGTTTTTCATCTTGAGCCATATTGCCCACATGCTTTACAATTTTATTTGTGGATTGTGGACCTTTTTTTTCGATCATTGATAATGTTGACTTTTCTTGTCAGTTAAGGCCTATGGTGTTTATACAATAAACAATATATAATACATGGTTGCTTATGGATGTAGAATTTCTTTCTTTTGTGATATCAAGTTGCACACTTCAAGAGAAATTCCATATCTTCAAGCAACCACATTTCATATTCAATTCATTTAAGGCAAGAATGAGTCCACTTACTCTGACTAATACTGTGTGGCCAGGTTGTGGATCTAGTGGCGGTAATGGAGGGGAACATGAAGGAATTCTGTTCAGGCTTTGAAGAGAACATCCCTGCAAGTGAGATTAAAACAGCAAACTTGGATGTCGCGATAATCTTCATGAAAAAGTTAAAAAGAAAATTGAAATTGAAATTAAATCTGTTTTTATATACAAGGATTATTCCTAAATTTCATCTGAGATAAAGAATTATCCAGTTAATACAGAGCATCCTTACTGGAAACCCTACAAACATACTAGCTGCTTTGTATATTGTAATCACAGCTACTACAAATAACCATGTTTTAGTCACTGCTATAGAAGTATTGGTAAGAGTAAGTTGCTATGATTGGATCATGCTGGAAAAACTAAACTCACAAAAAAGAGCTCAAAGGGTAAAAAAATTATGGGCAGAGGAATGATTTATTAAAAGAGACATATGCTTGAATTACTCTTCAAATCACAAACTGGCCAAAATAAAAACCAAAATGCTTTTTCTGGAGCAAATTCCTCTTTAAAATAATAAAAAATGGCATTTATGCTGAATGTCATAAAAAAAGTAATACTTATTAAACGAATTCCAATCATTCAGAGCACACCTATATACACAGTCATAAATTTACCCCTGAGACAAATCTTTCTGTGGTCTGAATGGATGGTACCTCAAGTGGAACAGGCACAGGACTAGGTGAACTGAAAAAAAAGAAACTTATGTATTAAACATTTTCAATGAATGGATTAAGTGGTGTACTTGCACATACAGTGCATTTTCTTAAACAAGGATATTTAGAAATTGAAAGCAAATCCGTGGTCAGAGTTGACACAGTAGGGATTTAACTCTTTAACCCCTGAGAGTGACTAATATCTAATTCGTTATGACAATATCACCCATGAATTACACATTAAGGTCAGCAGAATCAAGGATATGATCACCAACTAATTTTTAAACAAGTCTCCTTTTCATCGTTGTAAGAAATGTAGGGAGAACAGCAAGGAGAATATGCATACTGATGTTGGGGTATAAGTGGCTAGGATAAATCTTCAGAGTACTTTTTCAATATTTTGGCAAGTTGCCAGAAAAGTTAGCTATACCATTTAATGTTCATGTATTTATTTCTTGGTATAAGAGAGGCACTAAAACTACAATAAAATTTGACTGTTACAATACTAACTCTGTGAATATTATAGGAGAATCATCAAAGCTGACAAGGTTGTCATCATTATCACTTAATTCATCTTTACTTCCACCTTCAACGACCATGTCTGAACTTGCTGTAGATGTTGCTGACGCACAGGGTGTGTTTGAAGCACCCCTGAAAAGATAGGGATAGTAGTTCATTATCAAACATAGCAAGTAGATTGCTGAATATTTCTAGACAAGCAAATACATATATACCTGAGGAAAAGAATGAAACTAAAATCACTGCATTGCCTTTATAAGCACCTGTTCTTTGGGAGTACGCTGGAAACTCCAAAATCAGTAAAAAAGGCAGACAAATTTTTATGTGTCTCCTGCCTTGAGCCCATTTCTCTAAATTGCTCTGCTCTGGTTTACCATATCTCCTCAAATAAGTGCTCAAGCTCTAATGAGCCAAATATCTGCCCACCCCCTGAGCCAAAAATTTGAACAAGCACCCTCCTTCCGCATTTTCTTAAATAGCAGGGTTATAAGGAAAACCTGTTCTTATTGTCACTTAATTCACAACTTTTTAAGCTTCAACTAAGGTGAAGTCAGTACAGGAGAATAGCTTCTTGTTTGTTCCAGTTATTTCTATCTCCATGCGCTTGTAGAGTTCCTTGATGTGCTTTTTCTTTTCCTTGATATTTGTTATCCTTAAAGCTGCGCTAACTTAATACTTAATTGAGTGTCCTCCTTCCAATAAGCACCTCCCCTTTCAGCTGGGGGGGGGGGGGCACTTATTCAAGGAAATATATAGTAATTGAACACATCTGCTTAAGAAAAACCAAAATCTCAGAACTAAATTACACAGAGATGAAAACTAGACAAAAAGAAGAACTTATAGAGTGACCAGCACCTAATTTCTCCTTACAGATATACTGCTGAATCATTCATTAAGATCAAATGGGTTAAGAAAATAACGAATCAAGGAATTCTCTTTGTTAGTACCAATTGATTATGAAGAATATGGATACTGATGTTAGGATGTGAAGGGTTAAGGCATTTAACAGACATACCTCCTTTTTTCTGCAGCATCAGCCAAAAGAGCCCTTTTCTTTCTAAGATCTTCTTCCTGATCACTAACCATCTCCAATGGAGATGAACTGTGTTGGAAGTTTTGCATTGGAAGCTCTTCTTTCTCATCTTTCAAGGGCAGAAAAGTGATGAAATGTAAGGTTAGTCATGTGAACAGCACATAAGGCGCAAACATGGGGTGTCAAAGAATATAAAATAACACAAATAGTGAAAGCTCGTGAAAGAGTCTAAAAACTAGTAAATTAATACAGTTTCCCTGACAAATTTGCGAGGAGACCCTCGCCGAGATAACACTGACTAACACGAATGAAAGCCTCTTTAAACGTAAGCTTACACGAAGGCCATTTGATTGCCGTGAAAGCTCAAAAAGATACAATTTTAACTTAATTTACAGACTGATAATAGCTGTCACGAACAAGATATTTGTCTGATCATTTATTCCACTGATCTTCATTGAGTTCATTTTACCTTCCAACAAATGGATTCCTGTACAAGAATTCAATTTGACGATTTCTGTTCATTTCTGTACGTACCAACAAGACTTTTTTTTAAAATCACTATACTTCATGTCGCCATCAGAAGCACGGAAAGAAGAGAGTGAACATTGATTGTAAGTCATTAATCATTCATTGTTGCATTCAATACCTTCAGGACACGTTTAGGTTCGTTTTGAAAACAGCTAAGTATCACTACAAAAAAGAAAAAAAATCCAGATACTCTCGAAAACATCTGATTGCAATTATGATGTTTGTAACGAAAAGAAAAGGATTATTCAGATCAACAAAAGCAAATCTTAGAGTAGAGATCCTGAGAAAAATTATCTGGGTTTACATCGATCAGAGTTAAGATCTACCTGGGAGGTGAAGGGGCATCTTTGACATCATGGTCCGATGTCGTTTGAAACTCTCCTCGATGCTGGTTTGTTTGAGCCGTTTACGCTTTCGATCTGCATCGAACTTAATGCTCATTATTCCTACTAGGGTTCCAATGCATGAAGAGCAGGGACTAGTTGATTTGGCTCGCTGTCAAGGCATAACTTTCAAGGAATTCAAGAACAAATAACACAAAATCCGAAACTTGTACCCGAAAAAACTAAACTCTCCTCTGTCGGTCAATGCCTTCTTGGCCTGGATACTAAGTTTTTGCCATGAGAGACCTGGTTACCAAGCGCCCTGATTAAGTTGTTCAAAATGGCGGCTTCTTGAGAAGGATTTTGGCCGAAAAATTATACGAAGAGGAAAAAACATGGATGATAGATTGAAGAAGATGAAAGAAAAGTCGAAGCTTCGACGACAACTTCTTGCGCAACAGGTAAAATGTGCTCAACTTTTCCCAGCGAAATTGTGAAATAAGGTCATTTAATCATTGCCAAAAATGGGAAAGCTACTGTCTAAGTTTTAAGTGGCGAGGGATCAAGGAAAGATCAGTTGTGCATGCAATTAATCATTTCATATCCATCCTGGGCTGAAACGCAAATCGAGTGTGCCAAAGTTAGTCAAACTTTGGTGATCACTGGCGTGAAATTTTGTGTCTATATCCTATTAGACGTATTGGTGTGTGTTATTAGTAGTGATATTCGCTGAGTATTTTTACGAGTTGTGCCGTGACGATACATTTCTCATTAGGCGGGAAATGTAAAGCGGATAGAGAAGCGTAACGCACGCAGTCGACTGGTTAAACAGGTCTTTTGCAGTACAAGACGACTAACTGTACAAATAAACATATAATATTGCAGGATATTTGTACTCTACTTTGTGCTGTTGGATAATAAATGCGTTAATCTTTCTTGCGCGATTTTGTTAAAATGTTACACTCCTTACATTTTGGAGCATGCTGGGTTGCCTTTTTTTGAGATGTGGTGACATCCAGGGATAGGCTGGGTTAGGAGGGGTACTTATGCCATATTTTGATGTGTTTGTTTTGGAGGACTGGAAACACTGACTCCATTGAGTCCAAATACTTTAAATTAAAACTATCCTGGGCAGAATTAAATGAGATCCTTTATTTTCACCCAAGTTCAGGACAAGAATGGAAAAAACCTTTTTGATGTTAAACAAACCAAGAAAAATACTGTACATCACTCTTGTGATGTATAAATGACATATGCTATACTGCTGGCCACATCTCTCTTCATTTTAATGAGCAAAATTGCTACCTCTAAACCCAACTTAAACCGTGGAAGCCATTTTGAAGGTTCGTGTGTCATGGGAAGAGAGCAAATTTATAACTTTAAAGAAAGCAGAAGGAGAATAGTCTCACAGATATGTATATCTCACGCCAACTGAAGACCAAGACTAGACATGCTGTAAGACTATAACTAAAACATCACAGCTAGTCACATGGTAACTGGTCAAGTCACATGAAAGTCATCTTGCCAGAAGTCATTTCACCTGGAATGGCAACTTGACTGTAAACCAGCCATGTGACTTGGAAAGATAGGTCACCCAGAAGGGCAACTTTCTTGCCAATTTAAGCTATGAATACTTCTTATGTCTATGGCAACCAAAGTTGTCACAGCATGGAGTGCTGCATCCAGGGGAGTACCATGCATCTTGGTACTCCTTCTTATCTGTGCTGTCAATCATGAAATGTACATTCTGGTGATTTAGCTTGGTGCATCAGGAGGTGATTCCATTGGAGAACTACTGACCAGTAGAGAGGAACAAGAAAGCAAACGGCTCAAGTTCACAGGAGAACAGAAGGATGACACACATCAATCTGGAGGTTATCCAAAAGCCTCAGACATTGCTTTGCCTGGTGTCCCTGCAGGTCCAACCAAGGTTGGTTATTGGAATATTTTACGTATGACTAGGAGCTCTTAAAAAAAGGAAAAAATATTAGTAGCAGGGGGCATTAATTTTTTAAATTATATCTACCAAATCACTCACAATGAATCTCTTGTAGATATTACGTCAAACAGAAACATGCATGGTTTCAATGTCTTCCTCATATAGTACACATTTCCAAAAATGGTCAAGATTAGATTTTGATTTTCCAGGTGTTGATATCAAGAGAAAAGAAAAGAGAAGGTAAAAGCATTGCACAAGAGAATACTGAAGACTCAGAAAACGTAAGTCATGCTTAGATTGTTTGACCCTTTCAGTCCCATATTTCTCATTTCTGACTGCAATACAGTTCCTTGTATATTGGACAAGGGAATTTGGTGTTAGAACAATAGAATTCCCTCTTGCTGATAAACTTGTCTTTTCTCCTTACCTGTTTGCAAGATAACATATTGTAATGGTAAGGACAATTTACGAGTTAATCACTTCTGGGAATTGAAGGGTGAACTATAGTCTACAGGAGACATAACTGGTTTCTTTATGAATGTGGAACCATTGCTAATGGAAAAATATTTTTGATGACTAAAAATTTACTTTAGTAAAGAATATTGTTTTGAGAAAAGTAAAAAGGATTGCTTAGCCTTCTGTCAGCCTGTTTCTTTCGAAATGAACAGGCTTTGATTGCAGCTGAAAAAATGCTCCACTTCCTGGTTGTTTGAAGGGCAGATAACTCTATCCCAAGGATAAATCACTATCCAGTGGATAAGTGTTAACAGAATGTACTACACTATCCAACTGATAGAGATTTATCTAGTGGATAGTGTTATCCTCTATTTACACAACTGCAGCTAGTATCTGTCATGGTATGTACATTTAAAAGAGGTTAATCAAGGGACACTTCTTGTGCTCTCCAAAACTGTCCCCTGAATTATAATACAATCACATCACATGATATTACAAGTCTACAAAAGTCAGTTAAAATGTTTCTATGGTGTTCTATGAAAATTACCTTAGGGCTTTTTTTGTTGTGTAGTTGTGCAGTGTGAAGTTGATAGCTCAATCCTTTTAACCTTCATCTATTTAGAATAAAGACGACTATGAAGGGGAAGATGTTGAGGAAGTTGTGTACAAAGATTCCAGCCACTTCTTGAAGGTACATAATGGATATTACTTTTAGACTCTTAAACAAGAAAAGAAGTGTACTTAGATGCATATCTTCAAGCTCTGTGGACATTAGATTGAACAAAACTGTAGAATACATGTATATGAAAAGGTGTGCAAACTTACAAATTAACTTTTTTTTAACTTGAAAGTAATGTTTTTGAAAATGTTCACTTTGCAGACTTGGTTACATAGAGGTGTTATTAAACTCATAACCTTAAGTGTAAAAAAAACTTAATCTTGAACAAGTGGGACAAGTTGAATTTTTTTACAGTTTGGCTCATTCAAATGACATTGACCCTCTTGACATGGGTAAATTTATTTTGATGTATTTATCAGAAGTTTTTGCCTGATTGTAATAAACTTTTTTTCAAATTTCAGGGAACACAAAGTGCCAACCCTCACAATGATTACTGTCAGCACTTTGTTGACACAGGACAGAGGCCTCATAATTTCATCCGAGATGTGGGTGGGTAGTTTTTTTGAATGAAATGTCTGATTTTGCCTTAGTACGGTGGCAAGACTACTGATTTAAAACTCACTATTTGGTAACCTTTCTAGAAATAGAGGTTAACTTGTTAGAAAAAATGCTGACTGACTCTTATAGTAAAGAAAAAAGGGAAATATTTATTCAAAGTAAACAATGGTACATGCAATTAGATGTTTTAAACATAAATTTCTATGTGAGGTGCATTTATGGCCATCAGAACCAAGGAATAAAAACATTGCAACTTGCAACAGGATTAGGGAACAGATGGTAACAAAAATGGTTAGAGCTTGGAAGATGGCAGGCCCAGTGTTCCAACCCCTTTCTGAAGAGTCACAGACCTTAATTCTTTTTACTCATTTTGAGCAGCGCTGGCTAAACACTTTTCATGACCAAATACAGTTTTTATGTGACTGGTTTGGGGGAGGTTTGTAGATGATGCAGGACTGTAAACATACAGGAATACATGAAAAAGGTGTGGTGTTGTCAAGAACAAATGGTGTTATGTTCTGTGTTTTAGGACTTGCTGATAGGTTTGAAGAATATCCTAAACTCAGGGAACTTATCAGACTTAAGGTAACACTATGAGTGCTATTGGGTCGACTTTTTCCTAAGTATATTCAGATGTACCACACTTAATTCTTTAAAAAAAGAAAAAAAAATCGTATGAATCAATGGGTGTGGCGATTAAAATGCTTGAATTGCTCTGATTATTATTTTTTTTCATCTTTCCCTGCTTTTAGTGAAACTTACTGTCAATTTATAAATAAGTTTTGAGAACTTGGTAATAGATCAAGATGACAATTTCAACTTGATAAGTTTGAGTATTCTCATTAGCTGTTTGCTGAATAATGTATGGATATTATAGGGAGAAGTTACATGTTAATCACTTCAGGGAGTTAAAGGGTTAAGTTCTACATCATAACTAGGGTTTATAGATTTGGATTTCTGTAGTGGATCAATTTTTTAGGGTGTTGATGTTTTTGTAATTATATCTCATTTAATCATCTTTTAGGATGAGATCATTTCAGAAAGAGCTACTCCCCCAATGTAAGTAATGGTGGTATATCATCATAACAGAGGCATGGTTTATGGTGTGACTTATAGACACAAGGGGAAGTTTTTGTGGTTAGGAATCAAGGTTGCAAGTGGGTGAATTGAAGTCCAACTTTTACCTCCCATGATCTGCTAGTAGTGGGTAATTGGTCTTATTGACTGAGTTGATGACATAAATTGGCCACTTTAAAGAGTTTCAAAGCTGACATTTCATTAGAGTGCTGTGATGAAGGCCTAATGCTCAAAATGTCACTTTTGTTCCTCTTTATTGTGGCCAATTTAGGTTTAATGGTCAACTCAGTTGATAATACCAAATCACCCTTTTATACTCTCGCACTGACGTAGCACCTCAGTTTTCTTTAGAAACTTACCCCCTTTATTCATCTGCTAGTAATTGTTCTCCTTACTGAATCCTTTTCTTGTTAATTATTTGCAAAGAGATGAATCTTTTTTTTTTCTTGTTTTTTTTAATTCATGTGCCAGTTTTTGATTATATATTTTAAGGTATCTTCAGTGTGACTTGGATATGTTTGATCTTGATGACCTTGAATGTAAGTTTGACGTGCTGTACATTGACCCACCCCTGGAGGAATATCAACGACGTGCTGCTGGTACTACCTTCAACTGGAAACCGTGGACCTGGGATGAGGTTAGTTGTATGCCTACGTTTGTAAAACTTTAAGGGCTCAGTGTTTGAAGCTGAGTGGCCTATAACTGATGCTGATCAGGAAGCTCATTACAACTTCTGTGGTGTAATGTTATGAGGTGTCTGTATTCTACCTTAGATGGCAGTAACCCCCCCCCCCCCCAAATTATTTGGGCATTAGCCCTTGGTCATTTGCTTGGACAAAAGGCTAACTAAAGGCTTAAAATGTCAGCATTAGAAACTCTTTACAATGGCCCATTTACATTATGCAGTTAATAAAACCAAACTCTCTTGTAATAGCTCCCACCTGTAGAGCACTAACAGTCAGCTTAACCCTTTAACTCCCAGATCACATTTGTAATTCTCCTTACTGCCAACCATACAATTCTTATAATGTTAGCTCAGAGAATTGAGTATTGGATCAACTAATTATCCCAGGCCCAAATTGTTATTTTTCTTTATTCTCATCACTTATCTGATTGATATTGTATTGATATTGTAAGGAGAAATTCTGTCTTGGTTACTCATGGGAGTTAAAGGGTTAAAAACTCTAATGCAGTAGCCAATTTCCATCATCAACTCAAGTAATGAAACCAAACCATCTTGTTATGACTTCCACTGATGCAGCACCACATTTTTAGAAACTTGCCCCCCTCCCTCAGAATTATGTCAAGCTTCTCAGTCAGTTCATTGGTACACTTTTGAAGACAGTGCTTTCAATAAGACCTGCCACCTGTCAGGGCTCTGTTGGGAATTCTGTTGAGAATTGCTGTGTATACTTATTCAAGTATTCAAGTCAAATTTTCAGAACCAAAAAGTAAAAAACTTAAAAAATAATAGTAAATTTTAATTAGCATTTGTAGTATTCACCTTATTTATTTGTCAAATTCTGTGGTCTTTGATGGTTACATGTAGGTTCATTCTTTTGCTGGCAGTTTTCTTTTTCTGCTTGTTTTGCGTGTTCTACATATATGTTAATTCATCAGGCTTGAAGTAGATGTACACATTGTTGGCTGCTTAAAATAATTTTCAAGCAATTTTGAGCTGAACTTAAATCATCAAGTATTTTTGGACAAATAAAACAACTGTACAATACTTTTTCTTGACTGTTAGTTAGAAAAAAATTGAAAATCAAAATTGTCAAATAGCATACTTATTGATAAAACACAGATCAAATTTGGAACTTTTTTGAAAACTAAGAGGTTTTAAGAGTTTGCATTAAAAATGCTCACCCAAGGCTCAGCTGCATCTAGAGAGGAACAAAACAGAAAATGAACACTTAGCATTTAACCTTTCATTAAAAAATAAAAGCTTGCATTTGTTGTGAAAAGCAGAAAAGACCATGTTCTTATAGTTACTGGTAAGCCAGTACATGAGTAAGTGACTTTTCATTATTTTTCTGGAAGCAATCAGTGGCTCATCAATTGTTTACAATCTGATATGAAACATGAGCTGTGGGAATTTGTTAGCCATGAAAAGGACCATGAAATAACCCAGGGTTAGTGTGAAATCTGATTTCAGATCTTAAAGCTTTGAAGGAAAATTCAGTAGAATTTTTTTTGTCTACTATTTGATGATTGGATGCTCTAAAAAGAATAGATAAAATTATCCCTAAAGGCTTTTGAACATAAAATGAAAGAAACCTGGATTAGAATTTAATCTTGGGGCAGCACTAATTGGCCTTCAAACAACTGATCCCACTACATTAGCTGGACACCAGGTGTGGAATGGAAAATGGTATGATCTTGTTTCTTTTGTGAAAGGGTTTTAATGGCTACTTCAGTTGATATTCTGGTTGCCTTGTTGCAGATTCTTAAGCTAGAAATAGAAAAAGTAGCTGCTCAGCGCTCATTCCTGTTTCTTTGGTGTGGCTCACATGAAGGACTTAATGAAGGGAGAAAGGTAAAAAAATAAAAATATGTAGAAAATGATCAATTGTTGTCTTTTTGCGATGAAACATTTCGTAAAAGCATATTAAAAATATGTTGACAACATTTCAACATTTTGCTAATGTCATAATCAAGTCAAAGAGTGAAAGATAAAATGTTTAAATACTAAAAAGACAATAGGTATTTAAGGTTTTTTTTTTGACTTGATTGATGACCAGGTATTTTCATTGTTCTTCCATTGGGGGTTTTCTTTAAACCTGTTCCAACCCCCTTAGTATGTCTTTTGTTAACAGTGCCTAAAGAAATGGGGCTTTCGTCGTTGCGAGGACATTTGTTGGATTAAAACAAATAAAACCAATCCTGGAAACACAAAATACCTTGAACCTGATGCCATCTTTCAACACACTAAAGAACACTGTCTGATGGGGATAAAAGGAACTGTGAGAAGAAGTACTGATGGAGACTTCATTCATGCAAATGTGGATATTGATCTTATTATCACTGAAGAGGTAAATTGTCATTAGATTATAAAATAGAATGGTGAAAATCTTGCAAGCTGTGGGCCTACATGGAAAATATCTTGATGTAGCATAGAGTTGATTCAGTCTGGTTGTCTCGGAATTCTTTTGGGCTGATAAATGTTACATTCACCTATTTGTTAAGCTCTTATTGCTGAATAACAAGGATGAAAAAGTCAAATAGGATTTAACATGAAATGAAAAGTACATTGATTTCTTGCATTTGGACTGTGATATGAAAAGCTGGGATGTTATAATTTCATGTTTTTGTTCACTATTCACTGTTCATTATTAACTGCTTTTACTAATTCTTAGAGAATGGCATGTGTTCCACATAAACATATGCAGTAAGATGGAGACTAACATAATTATGATGACACCCCTATCCCCTTTTAAATTTCTCTGGAAGCATATTATTACTATTATTAGTAATAATTTAATTATTTATTAAGTAGTGTAAGTTGAGAGTTCTTGAAGGAAATAATTAATTGTACCATCCATTTCCAGCCTGAACTTGGGAGCACAGAAAAACCAACTGAGATATTTCACATAATGGAGCATTTCTGCCTAGGAAGACGTCGGCTTCACCTGTTTGCTGTTGATGATACCCTAAGACCAGGTAACATTTCAATAATCTTTTTCCAGTACTTGTACTAATGTTTTTTTTCTAAATACAGCTGCAATATTTATCGGATTTAAAAGAAACCACAAGCCTCTACACTGACTACATTGTAGTTTACACCAATTTTATGACTAAGGAACAGAAATTTTTTTGGTTTGTTGTGAGTGTGAGACAAAGAAAAATTTTGAGTCCTCATGAGGAAGTGATTTTCAGACCTTGGGATTCCATGCTCATTGCTCTACCACTGAGCCACAGATAATCTGTGGTGAGCTGGGTTAATACATTACCTTGTGTGTAAAGATATTAACCCTTTCACTCCCAAGATCTCTTTAGTAATTCTCATTACTGTCTGCCCTATGATTCTTATGATGTTACTTCCGAGAATTTGGTTTTAGATCAAGTTATAATGCCCTAATTGATTTTTTTCCCTATTCTTGTCACTTGTGTGCTTGTTACTGTTATGATATCGTTAGGAGAAATTCTTTCTTAGGCACTCAATGGAGTTAAGAAATATGGTAACTTCTTAGCTTGGTAATGAAATACATAAAATGTTTCTTTATCTTGTGACAGGCATGGGAAAAGGAAAAAATTCGGAGTTTTGATAACTAATTTTCTGTTTCTATTTTGTTTGCTAGGCTGGCTATCTGTGGGCCCCAGTCTTTCAAGTTCAAACTTCTCTGCTGATTTGTACAACTCGTATTTTTCCAGTGGACCAGAAGACCTTATTGTGGGCAGCACACAAGAAATTGAGACTCTTAGACCTAAATCTCCCACAGGAAAACACAAGGGAGATGCTGGAGGACGTGGGGGTGGTAATGTGGCCACAAGGGGAGGGCCTGGTGCTCGGGGAAGGGGCATGGTTCGTGGGGGGATGATGAGGGGAGCAGGATTTCAAGGGAGGGGTGGGAGGGGTTTTGTGAGCTTTTCTGTAAGATAGTTAGGATTCATTTAAACAAGTAAAGCATCTGAAAAGTATGTGAAAAATGTTAGCCCTCTCACACAATGTTTCATATGCTTTTCAATTGGTTCTCCAAGCCTAACTCTGAAGACCATTCACTTTAAAGCCTGGATAGCAATTTGTGGCCGATCTAATGCAGAATTTTGAACTCAGGCCTCCTAAGGTGATTCCTCAGTATTGCTCAGCGCATCCTGTACTGCGCTTAAAAATGATGTAATCAGGTGAATAAGCATGTGTGCATTCTGAGAATACAGTATTGGTTTTCAATCAGTGTAATAGGAAAAGAGGAAAGATGGTCTTTAGCTCTTGACCAAGCATGGTGACCTATACTTTTGTCCTCTTCAAATTGGAGAATTTGAAAAAGTCATCAAGGAGAAAAAAGATACAGCTAAAAGTGTGCCTGAAGCCTGTTTCTCGAGGATGCAAATTATCCCCTAGAAAGAATGATGTGAACATTTTGAGTCCATGTTGTTTAAAATTGCGTGATCTTTCCATAAGTTATGTACCAAGTTGTTCCATATGCTCAAGTTTTTACATTGAAAACATTGCTTCCAGTTACTTCAAAATGTACCGTAACTTGATGAAATGACATGCATCCTTAGTGTTAGTACAGACATAAATGGGGTAAGATTGGCCCATCATGTTTCTTAAACATGCAAGGTGACCTATCTGTTTTATTGTATTTTTTCAAAACAGACCTCATTAAGAAACATTTATCGAAAGTTTGCTAGATAACATTGAGGAATCACTTTGAGAAGCCCCCATGCATGAGAAACTAGGGGTAAAAAGATTCTTTACCTAACACTTGATCTTTTCTTTAAAAAAAATGGAAGATGGAAAGGAAAAATGAAATATCAATCACCCTTCTTAGACTAGCTAACCATGGTGAAATTACAAAAGAAACCTGGCCAAGTGGTAATGATATTTATAACTTTTCCTTTCATGAAATAAAGCTACAATCACAGCAGCAATGTGTTGTTCAATTCTCATATCTGCAATTATATTCACCAGTTGAAGAAATGGTAATTTTTTGTTTCTGTGCCTGAGCTGTCATCCTGATTTTGACAAACTAGTAGAAAAAAAGACAAAGCCACAAGCATGCATGAAGTCTGTTACTTGAGGATGCAAATTATTATGACCATGAATGGAATGACTCAAGAACGTTTTGAATCAATGTCATTTAACTTTGCATGATTTTCCCGCATATTATATATCAAATTGTTCCATATGCACGAGACTTTCTACCTATCAAGGTATTTCAAAGTGTTATTGGAAACAATACTTCTAGTCCCTTTAAGCCACAGAGATTAGAATAAGGTCTGGCAGGATGAGCCATTTGGCATTACCTGAAGAAAAGAAATAGAGACCCCAGAAGATACAAACATAAGCTGTTTATTATAAACTAACACACCAAACTAACAAGATACCCTTGTTTCATATCAAATAAACACTTTCAGGTTAGCAAAGTTACTTCATTCAGAAGAGATGAACTACATCACCCTGAAAACAAGACAGACTGACATATTAAAAAAACCAAGACACCAACTTTACAATGGCAACATTACACTACAGTCCATTAAACATCCATCAACCCATCTTCAGTCACTGTGCTTTTCCAAATCTTTTAAATGTTTACTCTGAATTTACCTCAAAATTTCCATCATTACAAAAGGTATAAAAAAGCTAACAAATACACAATATTAACAAAGTTTGAGCCATTAATTAACCAAATGAATTTTTCTCAAAAAGGTTTCATGATCAGTGTACATTTCCACTGCTCATAAATGGAGGTGGCCTCTCATGCCTCGACACATCTGAAAATGAAGATAATAAATAATTAATTACCAAATATTGTAACAAAAATAACAAATAAATAACCCTATGGATAAAACTGAAACATGTTGAACATAAAATGAATTTTTATACATGGACAGCTTTTAATTTGATATCTAGTTTGGAGAATAGACATGTTTAGTGTGTCGCTGAGCTTAAAATCCATTATTTTTTCTTAGAATAACAATTAGAATGTAGACACTTGATTGCAAAGGCCTTAACACCTAAAGAGCTTGAACCACAAATTATGAAACCCATAGACTATATGGGCAGTTTATGTATATTTACTGAATCAGTGATTCATTTTAGTCCTTATTTAGAGTGAAAAAATTCTTTTTGAAAGTTCTTTCATTTCCAAAATGCTTAGACAGTTTCTATCATTCACTGAGTGCAAGTGTTGTGGTTATCATAAAATTGTCTTTCTGATATTCATCCAACAAGAATTTGATGCTTCAACATCCCCCTGCCAAGGGGCAGGGGATATTTGAGGGTAGGTGTTTGAACTTTTGAAGATTGGTTTATTAACATTCTGCCCCCCATGGCAAAAACTGCCTTCAAATGCCCCATCTAAGTGCTGGATCTACTGAAAAGAGTTGACACTACCAGTCACCCACTGTAGCAGGCAAGGTTCAAATTCTTCTCATCCTCAGGCACCAATAACAGTCAAGTGCCCATGGGTTGCTGAGGGGGGAGGAAGAGAATGTTGAAATCTTAAATTGATTGGTGCATTAGGCCTCACTGCCCATGATAAAAGTATCAAGGATGTCAACTTTTTCTGCAATCAAGTGTATACACCAAACTTAATGGAGACGGAAGGAAGACAATCAATGTAAACTGCACCGTATAATTCATCACTGTCAGGTTCTGATGTATGGCAAATGAGTGACAATTGATAATTGTGGACGACTAATTATTATTAGTTAACCCTTTAAACACTAAGAATGACCAGCATGTGCATCCTCCTCTTAGTAATACCACTGATGTGCTTCCTCCTCTTAGTAATACCACTGAATCTTTCATTAAGATCATGAGAATAATAAAAAAAAATGTTTGCCAACTTAAGAAGCTTTCAATTGACTGATAAATGAACTCTCCTTGCCAGGAGAGTAAAATACCGATTGATAGGTTCTATATAGAGGAGAGTATGTAGTCTATGGACACTGTTGTTAGGATGTAAAGGATTAAGAACAAAAGTGTTAGTTCTGGTTGTTAAATTGTAGTAGTTAATGTAAATGAGCTGTGTTGTGTTATGCATTGGCCTGAGCAATGAGAGTGGAAAACAGGAGAACACCATGAATGAAAAACAATGATAACTTGAAGTGAACTTTGTGATCAACAATTATGTTAGAACTGATTCAAACTACTTTGCCATAAGACAAGGAAAAAAACTAGAAAAATGATTCCTATTTTGGACATGGTATACATAAGACAAGTTAAAATTTTTTTCCCGGAGACATTAAATAACTTTAGCCTAGAGAGGACATCATCATTCTCTCTGGCTTCTTGAAAATGTAGAGGTTTTGCTTAAAACCAGTCCAATAAAATGGCCTGAGATCAAGAACTTAGTGCCCAATTTTCTATGGGTTCATTCTTTATTCAATCTCCTTATCATTGTTTCTTTTTTTAAGTACTTTACCAGAAAATTACTCATTAGAAAACTGGGGTGAATGAGAGGAAATAAAAACTATACTATAGCAGAAGATGAACTCAACAACACAAGGTAGCTCTTAGTCTAACATGGATGTATTCTCTGACCAAGTTGAAAACATGATTGTGGATGGATTCAGGTTAAAATTCAATTATAAATCATTAAGTAATTTCCAATTACAAGGTGATTTCATACACAGGAGTTGAAACAATAAATAGAACACTTTCTGTTGGTGAATAATCAACTCAAATAAGGTTCAAATGTATGACATCCATTTAAAAAAATTCCAACAACATGTGAGTGAAGATTAACTCATGCAAGTCCCATGTCTGGAAAATTATTCTGACAGTGATTCACTGTCCTACAATACACACTAAATGAAATTATGATAAGTCAGAAGGATTTTCTGAAATGAATTTTTGCGAAACTTGATTAAATTATTCTGTTTATCACAACTAAAAACTCAGGAATATTCATAGAATGTAAGTGAAAGTTTCATATTTCAGCAGATCATGTGATTTCAGCCTATTTTTAAATTTATCACTTAGGTAGAAATGTCTTATAAAAAAAAGCACCGGTTTAGACCTTACAACTGACAAATTTGCTATTAAAAACAATTTTCTTAGCTGTAATCAGAATTTGCTCTTCCTGCAGGAACTGGGCTGTCCAACCTGTTTTCCACTCCTCTGCTCTCAGACTTATCAAATCAAAAATCTTACTCACAAAGCCACCTTCAGTCACCTTGAGCAGAGCCTGGGTAATATTGGTTGTTCCCATTAGGTGCTGACACACTAACACCTGGCTGTGGTGGAAGGCGGTAAGGAGGAGGTGCTCCCATGGGTGGTTCTGGTTCTGGTTCATATTCATGCTGACCTGGAGGGGGTTTCCTGAAGAGGAAACATGGAGAGCCTTACAGAGTTGCCAATAAGTTTTAAGTGGAACTGAATACTTAACTTACTAAGGACAGGTTAAGATGTGTGAAATTATTCCATAATCCTGGGCATGTTTACACCTGTAATCTGACTAAACAATGTAGCATACATGATAACAGCCTTAAACTTTACAGACGTTGACCTGCAATTCCAGACCTCTCCTAAAGTAAAGTTAATAATTCTGATGGAGCAAAAAGCAATGGTGTTATTCTGATTCATAATAACCAACAAATTAAAGCTTCACTTACTGCTTGTAAGGTGTGGATGTCTCCTTGGGCTGTGGAACACGATCTGAACTGTCATGTACAGCATCACCATTTTGATGGGACAACTGTCTCAAACGGAAAGTTGCTCTCAGAATGGAGTCATGATGAGACAGCTGTGGTCTGCAAATAAACACATTTTAAAATTATTGTAAAATTTACCCTTAGCCCTGAGTCATTTCTAACACACTTTTAAAGAATGTCTGATCTGGATTGTGAGTGGATGCTGCAATGCATATGTTTCATAGCTTAACACTTTATGATAAGTAAAAACAGACTACCAAGGATGGAGAAACAGAGGAA